TAGCGACCGTTTGCTCGTCAACCTCGTTGCTTGATAAGGCAACAGGTTTCATTGCTGCGATGTGTAAAGCTGTGTCTTTTCCAGCATTGTCATCACCACTATACTCAACCAAAACACCAATTCGGCCATTGTGAATATACGATGCTAACTTATTAGGGGTTTCGAAACGGCTAAAGCGGCGAATACTAATATTTTCACCAATTTTACCGACTAACGCGGTGCGAACAGCTTCAACGGTATCGTTACCGATTTTGAGTTCAGAAAGGCTTGCGACATCCGCGGGGTTGTTTTTGACGACTAAATTAGCGACATCGTTAGCAAATTTTAAAAAATCATCATTTTTTGAAACAAAGTCGGTTTCACAGTTAACTTCTACCATCGATGCTGTGCCACCATCAACGGCTACGGCAATAATACCTTCAGCCGTAATACGATCCGAAGCTTTACTAGCTTTGTTTCCCAAACGAACCCGCAAAATTTCTTCCGCTTTTGCAATATCGCCATCAGCTTCAACTAAAGCTTTTTTGCATTCCATCATTGGGGCATCGGTTTTGGCACGTAACTCACCTACCATTGCTGCTGTAATAGCTGCCATTTGTATTCTCCAATCAATAATAAATATAAATTTAAATCGTTGTCAATTAAAAAGGGGCAAAAGCCCCTTTGCCTAAACATCCTATCTTAAAGGAGTTAAGCCTGTGTTTCCTCAACAAAAGCTTCTTCTGAGCCGTCTTCAGCACGAATTGCTTCAACGACAGAGGTGGTTGCTTTTTCTTTACCCTGTAAAATGGCATCGGCCATAGCTGTTGTATACAACTCTACCGCTTTACTAGCATCATCATTTCCGGGAATGATGTAATCAACACCCTCAGGAGAGTGGTTCGTGTCAACCACGCCAATAACGGGAATACCAAGTTTTTGGGCTTCGATTAAAGCGATTTTGTGGTACCCAACATCAACCACAAACAAGGCATCGGGCAAATGCGCCATGTTTTTGATGCCACCAATCGATTTTTCGAGTTTAGCACGTTCACGTTGAAATAAAAGCCCTTCTTTTTTGGTCATTTTGTCCAAATCGCCATTTTCAATGGCGGCATCCATGTCTTGAAGTTTTTTTACGGAAGCTTTAATTGTTTTGAAGTTGGTAAGCATACCACCTAACCAACGCGAGTTAACGTAAGGCATACCGCAACGTATCGCTTGTTCAGCAATGGTGGTGATGACAATGCTGGAAAAGACACAGCTTTACACATCGCAGCAATGAAACCTGTTGCCTTATCAAGCAACGAGGTTGACGAGCAAACGGTCGCTAAAGAACGTTCAATTGCTGAACAAAAAGCGGCAGAATCAGGTAAACCTGCTGATATTGTTGCTAAAATGGTTGATGGTGCGGTACAAAAATTTCTAAAAGAAGTTTCTTTACTCAATCAAATTTTTGTCAAAAATGACAAACAAACCATCGAACAAATGCTCAAAGAAAAGGCATCCACTGTACATCGCTTTGCCATGCTCATTGTTGGCGAAGGTATCGAAAAGCGTCAAGATGACTTTGCCGCTGAAGTAGCCGCTCAAGTTGCTGCAGCCAAAGGTGGTTAAAAACCGCAAAAAAAACGCAGGCCAACGC